TCCCTGGGATGGGCCTGGGGCGGGCGGGGGGCGCCCCCCTCGGGACCCTCGGGGCACCCCCCTCTCCGGGCGAGGAGAGCGACAGAGGTGCCCACCCACCGGCTGGCAGGCTTTCTCCTTCCGGACCCCATTTCTCTCCAAGTTGGGCCGAACTTTGTGGCCTGACCTGTTGTCTCGCCGCCCCGCCCGGTGGGAGCGGGTCCCTCCGGTGCCCCGCAGCCCCGCTCTCCCGTTTCCCCTTCAGGCCCTTCCAGCCTCCCGGTCATCCTAGGCCCTTCCCGCTTTTCTCTCTTCTTCTCGTCTCGCTGTTCTTTCTGGCCGGAAACTGTGATGTCCTCCCCGGGCTAGAGACAAACTTAGCCATAGTCCTGGCCTCCGACCACGGAGACACTGGGCCCAGGGGGGTGACAGGAATACCTGGGGAGCCTGGGCCCTTCGGGACCGGGCCGTGGCCGTGCCCAGGGGACGAGAGGCCCCGAGGCCAAGCCATGCGGGTCGGCGGCCCCTGGGCTGTGAGGATAGGTACGGGGAGGCCTGGGGAGCAGGAAGGATGAGCTGTGGGGCCGGCAGGCAGGAGAGCCATCCTGGGGCGTGAGTAAGAGGAAGTGATGTAAGAGGGGGAGTGGGTCATTGGCTTTCCAACGAGTAGTTGGTTGAGTTGTCACTGGTTGAGTGCAATCGGCAAAGTAGAAAACGAGATTTAAAAAAAAAAAAATTAAAGCTTGAATGTAGGCCAAATGGAAGGTGACGGAAGATGATTTGACTCTGGGTGGTGGGCACGCAATGCAACATGCAGATCACGTATCGCAGGAATGTACACTTGAAACCTGTGTGATCCTATTGGACCAGTATCACCCCAGTACATTTAATTTAAGAATGCATTAAGTAAACGGGGGGAAACAACTTTGATTGGAGAATGGCCAGCCCCAGGGCGGTGGCCTGCAGCCGGCAGGGTTGTGAAGCTAATGCAGACAGACCCACGGGGGCTGCTTGGAGGGTGGAAGGGAGCCGGGACTGCTCCAGCCACAGGTGACAGGTGAGGAAACGCACGTCCACAAAGGCTCCTGGAGCTGAGGATCGGTTAGTGGTGCAGCGGGGGCAGGACTGACATCGGTTTCCAGAATTCTCCATCATGTTCTTTCCACTCTACCTGCAGAGGAGGATTCTGAGGGGAGTGAATTTAGGAATCAGAGGGTTGCAGTCTTTAAAGATTAAAGCAACCAGATACCATAGTGGCCTATGTGACCAAAGGCCAGTACAGCCAAAGCAGTTTGGACACCTCGGTGCACGTGGTTATAACTGGGAGAGGCTGTGTGATCCAGGTGGGGAGTAGGATATTGCAAACCAACTGCGATGTGCTTTTTAAGCCCTTAGCATCTATTTTTCCCCCGTAGCATCTTGAGACCAGTAAAAAAAAGAAAATAAATAGAAGTGGTAGATTGATGGGGGGTTTTTATGTCTTGTATAGATTAGAGAATTTCCAAAACATTTCCTACCGTTCTTTCAGTTTTTTAAAAATAATTTTATTTTTTTATTGATTTCAGAGAGAAAGGGGGGGGGAAACATCAATGATGAGAATCATTAATCAGCTGCTTACTGCACGCCCCCCACTGGGGATCAAGCCGGCAATCTGGGCATGTGCTCTTGACCGGAATCGAAACCAGGACCCTTCAGTCCGCAGGCCGATGCTCTATCCACTGAGCCAAACTGGCTAGGGCTCAGTTTTTCACTCCACATTATTTATATTGAAAGGAAATAAAATATGACCAAGCATTCTCTTTGCTGTCGTTTCAAATGGGCACCAAATTCCCTATATAATAGAAGACTGCCACTCTGGCCTGCAAAAAGACCTTTTCACAACTGGAAATCATGTGCTTCCCCACCCTCCCGGGAGTCTTGAAGTTATTAGTTCAAGGGAAGATTTCTGTGTTCTGTTTAACTTGCCAAAGAGGCCTTGATATAGTATGAACGTAAGTCATAAGCGATAGCAAGTTAGGATTATACGAAAAGTTGGTTGATCGAAATGACTAATTTGTTTTAAGTCTACACGTGAAAGAAATACAGAATTTCCTGAGGAACAGCCTTACAGTTTGCAGCGTCCCCTCCCTTGCCCATCTCCAGAACTTACTCTAACAGAGGAGCACAATTTTTCACAGGATGAAGAACAGTGGTCTAGTGTCCACATTCACTGTATTTAGTGAGAAAGTCCGGAAGCCACTTCATAGGAGACATGTACGCTGTATAGTGACGCTTAACATCAGAGCACGCCTCGCATACCCGTCTGCTGCCTCTCTGTCGTGCTGATGGTGTCCATGTTGTGGGTCCTTCCGTGATTCTTACCCAGAAGTATGAATAAGTTTTATTTGTTTTTTATCTTTTGTTTTGTTTTGTTTTTAACTAGACCAGAGGCAGAGGAACCCAACAAAGATGATCCCCTTCATCTTGACTTTGCATGGTTAGTTCCGATCCCAGTTTCTGAAAGTAACACTGTGGAAGGCTTATATTGCAGGAATTTTGGGCTTTTCGAAATGGAAGGTAAACTAATAAGTGGCAGAACATCAATTGAATCTCAAATGGAAATATCACAGATGGAACTCTTCCGGGGATACCCTGGTCGGTGGGAAGTGATTCGGCCATGTCTGGTTTAAACTGCATTTCTAATTGGGACGGGATAAAGAGAGGAGCTTGGTTTTCCAGGTCTTCCGTTTACAGAAGTGATGTGCATGTTTGGAAAAGTTAAGGTATAGAGACGATAGGGGGCCTTGTTAGGAGTTACTGCTTTCTTCAGGGTTTTTCTAGGTTACAGGTGTTCTGAGT